AGAGAGAGAGAGAGAGAGAGAGAGAGAGAGAGAGAGAGAGAGAGAGATATCAGTCAAGCTATTCAGCTTGCTGACTCTCCGGCAACATGGCATTGAATTCTTAGCTATGGGATGGTTCTGAGGCCCAGACTGATTCTCCAGTGATAATACCTAAAATCTACTAGGATGTTAACTCTGCCTGGGCATCTTTCCAGAAAAAAAAAAAAGTTCAGTGTGTGTGTGTGTGTGTGTGTGTGTGTGTGTGTGTGTTGAGTGCAGTTGTAGAGACCAGAGGCTAACATTTGGTGTCTCCCTCAGTTGCTCTCTGCCTTTATTTCTTGTGGCAGGGTCTCTCACTGATCCAGAAACACTGATTCAGCTAGCCTGGTTGGCTAAGGAGTTTCAAGGGCCTACCTCTCTCCCACTCCCCTGCACTGAAAGTTGCATCACTATGCCTGGCTTTTTACATTGGCGCTGGGGAATCTGATAAAATCAGGTCCTCATGCTTACACAGCTGGCACCTTACTCACTTAGCCATCTCCCCACCTAGCCTCACCCATGCCCATTTCAAAGAGGAAACTGAGGCCCAGGGAGCTGAGTTCCCAACCAGGGTCATCATCTGGTGTCAGAGTCCAAGCTCCTAAGCCGGGGCACAGAGGCTCAAGCAACTAGGTGTCCAACCTCCTAGAGCGGGCCCGATCATGGAGGTGCCTCAGACACTCTGGCCCATTTTGCTCCCCCCCCCACATACCCTGTAGTCACAGGGCACACTACACATACTTTGGAATACTCTTTAGCATACAATAACTAATACCATATGGGAACAGTACAAGGTCACATGCTTAGGAACATATAGGAACTCAGGAGATGCTTATGTCTTTAATTAAAACATGGTTAAATTTGGTGTTTAATAGACTGTGGTCCCACAGCCATCTGCAGGGGATTGGTTCCAGCATTCCTGAGGATGCCAAAATTCTCAGATGCTGTGTCCCTGCTGTAGAAGGAGGCATCTAACCAAGCTCCATCTCCTGTGTTCTTGAACTTACTTATAATGTCAACGCAAAGCAAACAGTTGCTGGAGTATATTGTGTAGAGATAATGACAGGAAACAAAAACTTTCTATCCCCAGTTATATCACCTAGGAATCTTAGGAGAATCTTAAATCCAAGGCCAACCTGAGCTCCTATGAGACCCCTATTTCAAAACACCGAAGTCTGGGGACCAGGTAGAGTGTTTGCCTGACATATTCAAATCCCCAGGCAAGATTCCCAGGACCCAGAAGTCTATGTTCAGACCACACAGGTGCGGTGCCCTGCCCCTCAGATGCTTTCCCTCCACTGTGTGCTAAATTCATGGACCAGAGCCTGTAGATATGGAAGCCAACTGTACTTATTTTACCAATGAGAGAACCATAACCACAAAACCATGTCTTACAGCAGTATTACAGAGTTACAACCCTGATTGCCAGGAGTGAGTGGCAGCCTCTCCGATCTTCGTGGGCAAAGTAGGTTCAGGTCTAGTATCTCTCCTGGGCCCACCTCCAGGAATCAAACACTAAGCACCCAGTGAATGCTCCCTGCTTGGACCAATCTAAGCAGTGGTTTGGGAGCTTTTCCTCTGTGCTTTCAGGCCTCTAGAGCAGCTCAGAGAGGGAAAGGCAAGGCTCAGATGGAAAAAACAAGGCTTGCTTTTAAGGACCGCCAAGCATTGAGACCAGTCAGGCAACAAGAGGGTGACCCAGCCCTCCACCACCTTGTTGGAGTCTGGATGACACTTCTTTTTTTATCTTCCAGGAGTGTCTGGGGCTCACTCTGGGAATAAGGAAGGTGACTGTGGCTTCAGGGCTTCCCCGCCTCCTCTCCTTGTCTGGTTTGTCTGTCTGTCTGTCCATCCCCTGTCCCCTTCTTGTCCCCGGTGCACCTCACCCCACTCTGCTGATCCCTGCAGGAGGCGGCGGCCACAGAGCTGTACATCTGCAGGAGGCAGCAGAGAGCAGAGTGTTGCATCTGTGGGCGGCTGGAGAAGGGCCAGGGGAGCTCACAGCCAGATTGAGTGGGAAGGTGACAATTTATTCTTTCAAAGTGGGAGAGCTGGATTCCACGGATGTGTTTTCATCCCAGAACAAACTCAGCTCCCAATGGCTTTGACTCCCCCCACACCCCCAGCTGGGAGACCTTGGCTGCTGCTAATTGAGAAAAAGACCATGCAGTTTGGCTTCTTGGTTTCCTGAGCAACAAGCCTCCCCCTCCTGCTCGGCACCTCCTGTCTGCCTCTCTCCCTGTATCCCCCATTACCTTCTCCAGCCTCACCTTGGATTCCTGCTCCTCAGATTCTTAGTCCTGCTGAAACATTCTCCCAGTCCACCCTAAACAACTCCATCCTCTGCCTGGGCCATGCCCTCTGCCTGGAACGCTTTGATTCATACCATCCTTAAGGACTGACTCATCACCTTGTCCAGGAAGCCTCTTGGGTCTTCACATCTGGGTTGTGTACAGTGTTTAGATGCTTCAGGAGTAACCCTTGCCATCACCCACAGGGGCCGGGGAGGGGGGAGGCTTGAGGTGCTCTATCTTATTTGTGAGGTCCTTATTGACATGGATCAGAGAGCCATTAATTCCCCCTAACGGGCAAACAAATAACAAGTTTCCAGTTTTATCTGCAAGACTCATCCACAAGTTAAGTATTAATGACATTAATGACATTATTTCTGTGTTCTCTCTCTCTCTCTCTCTCTCTCTCTCTCTCTCTCTCTCTCTCTCT